CGGCACTATTTCTGGACAACTCATCATAACTCCTGCAGTGTTTGGCCACACTGTAGGAGTGTCCTGCCTCAGTCTTGGGGTGGTCAACACCACTGTAAGACGTCTTGGCTCCGCCACAGGAGTGCTTGGCACCTGTCCAGGAGTGGTCGCCACCACTACAGAACCTCTCGGCACCACTCCTGGCGTGCTCGGCATCCCTCCAGAAGTGCTTGACACTCCTCCCGGAGTGCTCAGCATCCCTCCCGAAGTGCTCGGTACTACCCCAGGAGTGCTCGGCTCTACCGCAGGAGTGCTCGGCACTCCTCCCGGAGTGCTCGGCACCTCCTCTCCAGCGTCTCCACCATCGTGGATGACCAAGTGCTCGACGACGAAGGTGTTGGTGAAGCTGCCAGCTTCCCCCATGCTCGGACTGCTCCAGTCCCAAGCCGCCTCCTCGTCGAACACGACGTCGCGCGAGACAAGCACCTTGTCTCCGCGTGGGTCGTAGAGCCGGTACGCCTTGGTACCCTCCGCGTAGCCTAGAAACACCATGGGTGTGCTCCTATCCTCTAGCTTGGTGAGGTTTGGCTTTGTCTTCCTGACATGGCCGATGCGGCCGAATGTCCAGAGGAAGGACACGCTCGGCTTGCGTCCATACCAAGCTTCGAACGGCGTCTTGCCCGTTAGGGCTTTGGTCGGAGATCGGTTGAGGATGAACATCACCGTGGCCACTGCCTCACCCCAGAACCTTGCCGGCATGACTTTGGCCATCATCATGGATCGGGCCATGCCGACCACCGTCTGGTTTCATCTCTCCACCACGCCATTCTGTTGTGGCGAGTACGGTGCGGTGTGGTGTTGCCCCACACCCTGATCCACGCAGTACGCAGCAAACTCCACCAAAGTGAATTTGCCACCGCGATCAGTTCTCAGCACGCGGAGCTTCTTGCCGCTCTCGGCCTCCGCGCGCGTCTTGAACTTCTTGATCGCCACCGCCGCTTCGTCCTTGCTTGTCAGGAGTTGCAGCCACATGTAGCGACTGCAATCATCCACAAGCAGGAGGAAGTACCGCCGACCACCATTTGTAGCAGGCGTGATCTGCCCGCAGAGGTCGCCGTGAACGAGCTCGAGAGCGTCTTTCGCGTGATACTTGGCCGCCTTTGGGAAAGGTAGCCTCCTCTGCTTCCCGGCCAGGCAGCTGTCGCACAGCTCGCCTCCGTGCTTGATGTGGGGTAGCCCTCGAACCATCTTCTCCAGCCGACCAAGCGCGTCAAAGCTGAGATGTCCGAACCGGGCATGCCACATCCATAGTTCCTCAGAGTGCCTTGCCGCCAGGCACACCAGCTGCTCTACCTTCAAGTCGAGCAGGTACAACCGGTTCAGGGACCTCTTCACCTTGGCGAGAAGTCGCTACTCTCGGTCCCTGATCCTAAGGACTCCGTCCTTGATCAGTACCTCGCTACCGCGCTCATCCAGCTGACCAAGGCTAATGATGCTGGAACGCAGCTGCGGGATGTATTATACATCTGTTAGCGCATGGTGCTCCCTGTTATGGCATCTGAAGATAATGGTGACGCGCCCTTGGATAGCCACCGTTGAGCCGTCACCAAACTTTACCGTACCGGTAACATCGCCGTCGAGCTCGGAGAAGGATGCCTTGGGGCCCGTCATGTGGTTACTGGCACCAGAGTCCAGATACCACCGCTGCTCTTGGTCGGCGCCCACACGTTCAAGGTGAACTTGGGGGCGTGGTTCGTCGAGGTTGACAGCCTTCAGGGCCTTCCTAGGTCCTTCCACCGTCGTCGCCTCTTCCCTCTCCTCGGCCTCGATGTCGTGCAGTGCACAGAACGTCGCCATTAGGATAGTGGCCTCATCCTCATCATCGGCTTGTGCCAAATGAGCCTGAGCCTTCTTTTCCTGCTTACGGTTTGGGCACTCTCGTGCCCAATGGCTAATCTTCCCACAACGCCGGCAGGCATTGGGGTTGACCTGCTTCTTCTCCAAAGAAGCCTTACCATGGCGCTTGCCATTGCCACCACGGTTGGAGGAGGCTACCTTCCCGGAGTTCCTCCGAGCAGCCCACTCCTCTTCCGTCAGCAGGAGTTTCCCGCTGTCCTTCATTGCTGTTGCCTGCTCCAGGCGCTCGTCTACCGCCCATAGACGACCTATCACATCCTCAATGGTGAGGGTGGACAAGTCCAGCATCGTCTCTATGGAGAGAGCGATCTGGATGTACTTTGTCGGCACGGAGTGGAGATACTTGAAGACCGCCTCCTCTTCGTCGATGGTGACGCCATGGCTCTTCAGCTTGCTGATGAGCGTCTGTAGGCGGAGGGAGAAGTCCTCCACTGTTTCACCATCCTTGAACTTGAGGTTGGCGCACTCCTGCTTCAGAAGCTGGGCCGTCGCCTTCTTTGCGCGGTCGGAATCGACGCGCATCGCCGCAATAGCCTCCCACGCCTCCTTAGCAAAGCTCTTCGCCCCCAACGGCTCATTGTACTCCGCCGGTACAGTAGCGAGGATAGCCTCCAACACTGACATGTCATCTTCTTCATTGTCGGTGCCCTTGTCAACAGCATTCCAGAGTCGTCAGGCTCTGAGCTTGACCTTCATGGTCACCGACCACTCTCCATAGTTGGTGCGAGTCAGCGTCGGCCAACTGGTGCCGCTGACCTCCAGCACCGTGCGAACAATGACCTCCGGTTGTGGCTGGGCAGCCACAGCAGTGCCACTACTATCGCCCATCTCCGAACCGCCCGTCATCGCCAGCGGTTAGTCTGGCGACGGCGCTTGCGAGGCTCTGATACCACTTGTTGGCCCACAGGATCACCGGCTCAGGTGAGTTAACCACTCACCAGTCTTGACGAGCAGCCGTTAGTGTTGCCGAGCACCCACTAACCGTGCCGACCACGAACAAGCATTATCCGTCCCCACACACTATGGCTAGAGCTAGAAGAAGAAGGGAGAATAGAGCATACATGCACAATACAAGACACCAGCGTTGGCCAAAGCCCTGTCTGTGAGATGGCAAATCTGAGCTCTCTTTACTGAGTTGCCATGGTAGTCTATTTATACAACTCTATCCATCTAGTCCTAGTACAGTTGCCCTGCTGCAATAGTGACTAGATAACATACAGAGCTGACTCTGCGCCGGCCACTGCATGTGCCTACAGTGCTGTAGGTGAGCAGTTCGGCGTCTGCACCCGCAGCGGCTACAATATCACAGCAGGGGACCTTTTCGGTGCCGCCTTCCCCTTGCTGTGTTCATACAAGGTAGCAGTAGATTTAGCTAACATTCTTAACAGCAATGACAAACTTTTCTTCAACTTCGTCAATGTAATTTTGTTTGTTTTGATGATAGAATGTTGCATAGGCCTCTTCCCTTGTCTTGTACTTCTTGTACATGGCTCCTGAGAACCCAAGGACCTCATTTGTGCATGCCTCGCAGCTTGGAAACACACCAGTACTCTGGCCATTTGTAACAACATACCAGGAACCCATTCTATTAAACAGTTAACAAGCCATGAAATAAAGAAATAGTCCAATGCTCACCAACATGGAATGAAATGCAATATCATTGGGAATAGGCATGTGCTCAGATTAGTAAGAAGTGTAACTTTGAAAGCATAAGCAATGGTCACAAGCAGAAAAATGAATTGCAAAATATTTTTTACATCACAGGCAATGGTCACAACTCTAATTAGCATAAGCAGTGGAGAAGCTAGAGCCAAATATAGGGGGTGCGAGTAAAGTTTAAACTTTTAACAAAATTTTAGATATAATTCGTAAATTTTGGCGGTTTTAAGATTTTTTTCAAATATCATATTTTATAAATGTTACCATATCCTATAACACGAGTTTGTACATATCTTGGCGATTTTTTTTCTGAGAGACCCGGATAGAAGCGTACCCTCATATACACGAGTGCACACTCATCCCTATAAATGCAGGCACATACACTTTATCCCTATAAACACCTCTAAAATACTAAGTTGGACTGGCAAATCTCGAGATTGACGAAGTCATCGTAGATGTCTCGCTATTGACGGGCACATCTTTTACCGATGAAGAAGTGGGACGGGCATGTCCACATGCATTATTTGTCATGGCTCCGACTGCTTGCTATACCCAAGCCGGTGAAACAAAAAATAGTAGTTCTAGTGGCTCCTCTAGTTCATTTTAATAAGATAGATAGAAATGGCTTTCTACTATAGTACATTGAGGAGCAGGAGCCAGAGCTTAATCCAGTTGAAGCTCTACACAATGGGAACTTAGACAAAAAAAAGATGGGGTGCACAATTTTATTTTCGGTATATGATTTTGCACTGAAGCTAAAATACAAAAATGTGAGAAAAGCTAAAATACGTTGGTTTCAACAGTGGAGTATAATATACTTTTTGCATGCAACTATTAGGACTTTGGCTTTGTTTAATTAACCGAGCTAGGGATATATGATATGCTTGATAGCTGGCATGGGATTAAAACTCTTCTTTTGCCACTCAACCTTGGTTTGCTGGATCTGTGGGTGCATTAATTTTTTGCAAGGGGGTGCACATGTGGTAAAAAAAATGATAGTTAGCACTAAGTTTTAATTTTGGTGTGGGTGCATCTGCACCCACTGTCACATACAAAGCTTCACCTCTGAGCATAAGCATATAAAGAAGGAATCACATATTAGAATAGCACTGCATATCATAGGCAATGGTCAATAGTTCATGGATCTCAGCTAATTCCATCTGCATACTACCTGACTGATCAACCCAGGCAACATCTCACAATCCCTGCCATACAACATGTGGCACATCAACCAAATCACCAATTTGTGCCACATTTACCTAACATACTTGCCCATCTTCAATATAATTTGAGCCTAGTGTTACCAGCCCTCATTGGTTACTAAGATTACACAAAATATTTAGGGACTACACAAAATAGTCAGCCACTGCACAAAAGAAGGAGCAGCACAAGTGTTGCAGCTACACTCCCAAAAGAATGATCAGTCAGTACCCAAGCTGCCACACTCACATGTAGTAGTGCTTGGCAAGGCAAGTCCTCATCCAAAGGACATGGTGACGCTCAATCATCCCCACAAATGCATCACCTTGAGCCTTGTTGTCAAGCAAGTGAGAGTATGCCACAATCAAACCCTCTTCAGGAAAACTAGGCATGTACATCACTACACCATACAGATCTAGATGCATAATCTCAGGTTTCTCTGGTTTGGTCTCATGAATAGCAGATGCCACGTCCTTGACAGCATCAGTCATCTGGTAGAAAATAGTAGTGTCCTCCTCAGTAAACATAGACCTGTTTCTTTTGTTGCCAGCACTAGAGTCACTATCGCCTTCTTTGCCATCCTTAGCACACTTACCCAACAGTTTAGCAGCATCATGACTGCTCTTTGCACCTTTGCCATCCTTCAATGGCTCAATCTTTATGCTGCTATCAGAAAACTCAGCTAGGGTTCCCAAAGGTTCATTTGACCCCATAGCATATTTCCCTGTGGCTTGACCATTACCAAAGATGGTCATCATCTGCTGGTAGTTCTCTATGTGCTTGTTTAAAAACTCAGCATCCTTAGGATGAGCCTAAGTTACCAGTTGGGGGAAGGTCAGTAAGATGTAGGTAATATTTGTAAGCAGGACAAGAAGGAAAAGAGGGTAACAAGAAGTAACAGCACCCACACACACCTGAATGTGCCCCATGTAGTGCTCTTCCTCTAGGCTTATCATGTGATATTTTCTTCATCCCAATTAGCACCACTCAACTCCCTCAGCTTTGACACTTTAACACACCTCTGCCTCCACTTCCTCAAGTGATTGTACACTTGAATTCCTGTCACCTCATTGCCAGTGAACTCACTATGAGCTTTGGCAACCTGGTTCAGGTGCACCTCCTTGAAACCCTTATCGGTCCTGACACCCGAGGAGATGAGCTGGCACATACAACGAAGAGCAAAACCAGACATGACACTGGTCCAGCGCATCCCACCCCTACCACGCTGGGCAGGAGCACCCTGCACCTCCTCAACCTCATCTCCCAACAAAACCACATTCTAATCAGCCATCTCCTATTAACCATTGACCATTGCCTCAGTTACAAACAAATTAAACAGATGTATGAAGAAGTAACAGCATAGGTTGTGACCAAAGCCGCAGTGAACAAAAAATAAGAGAGTTCAAACAAAGGTATATCAGCATAGCCTGTGACCAAAGCATCATTTAAAAGAATACATGATCATCATTGCAGCAGCCTATTCCCTCAAATTCATTGGAAAAGAACATAATTCATTCATCATTGAACATGAGCAATGCCTCAATAAAAAAGTTAACACATCACAACACATGTCCATAACCTGATAATAGCATAAATAATTCATCACATCACATATCCACAACCTAATTAAAAAATTTAAACATCAAAGCACTTGTCCAACTGCATAGACATTACATAACATCAACTAAACATGGGAGTTGCCTCTATTTTCCCACATAAGGTTAGCCCACTCATCCCTCTTCCTACACCATGCTACATTTTCTTCTAAAGGTACTTGGGGGCCTGCTACATTGTTAGTTGGATTAGGTTCCCAGTTTGACGCCAATGGAAAAACCTCATCTTCACCATGCCTAAGAATCCAGTTGTGGAGAATGCAACATGCAAGAACTAGTTTGACTTGTGTCTTGTAGGGATGAAATGGCTTGTTGTCTAGAATGCGGAAACGCTTCTTCAAGGCCCCAAACGCCCTCTCGACAGTCACTCTTAGGCTTAAATGCCTCAAATTGAACAACTCCCTAGCATTGGTAGGATAGTTTCTTCCACTATACTCGTTCAAATGATACCTAGTTCCACGGTAAGGGGAAGGAATCTAGGCCGACTAGATAGAATTCCCCTAAAAAATAGGTTAACTAGGCATGTATTAGTTTACGTTGTAGGGTTATGGCATGGTAAAGATAGAATGGCTATCAAATTGTGGTTAAGTACCTGGTGGAACCCTCAGCCCGTCATCGCTCTCTAGTGCATCAGCAAGTATGAGGGCATTATGTGCTGACCCCTCCCATCCCGCTAGCACATAAGTGAACTTCAAATCAAAGTCCACCGCTGCCAGAACATTTTGAGTAGGATAATGCTTCCTACCCCTAAATGCAGCAACATTTTTTGCTGGAACTCTAGCACGTACATGAGTGCCATCTATTGCACCAATACAATCCTACATGGTTTCAAATTTTACCTCAGTTATTGTATCCAAATGCACCAAGCTATGTACCATGGTCAGTTTTATTTGATTACCTTAAAATATGGATACCACTTGTGGCTGTTTGTGATCTTAAGTGATGTGTCATTGGATGGTGCCCTTATCATCTCCTCCCTGAGCTCTCCAATTGCATACAAAACCTCTCTAAAGTACCTACTAACGGTCTCGATGGACCTCCTAAAATTTTGATGGATAACTCTGAATCGTTGATTATGACCCACTACATGCAAGAACATAGCAACTTGCTCCTCTATATTATTGTTTATGGTGTCCCTAAGCAAGTGCTTCTCCCTAACTAGGTTGCACAAGTTGAAAAAGCGGCTCTACGCATACGAAGCATTGCAACACATTCTATGTCATTACAGTTGTATATTATGTCCAGGTTTGCTTGCCGTTCTTTGTCCATTGCACTCATCGGTGCATATGTGATCCTAGGACGTGGCCTCTGTGCCAACCTTACCCTACTAATGAAAAATGCATACACGACAGCAATAAAGGCAGCAGCCTTAACAACAAGCAACCGTCTCTGTTCCCTCCAATCCATCTATTGCAAAAGGAAAATTGAACATCATTGCTTAGAAAACAAATTATAACCCAAAACCACTTAAACAATGCTATGTCATTAACAATAATCCATGGACAATGTGCTCAGAATATATAGTCATCAATTCATCGGCTAGGACATGTGCTCAGAATGTACAGAGATCAGAATTCATTGGTTTGGACATGTGCTCAGTTTTTATGTTAAAGGAAAAGGTAGTAATCATTGGCATTCTCATGTTCTCAGATCTCAGTAAAAAAACTATAATCATTGGCATTCTCATGTTCTCAAATCTCAGTCAAAAATTGACTGGTGGAACAGCCATTCAATCACATACCAACTACAGATCCAGAGGTACCAAAACAAAGAGTAAGGTTGGAAGAGGTGAAGGGGTGCCTTTCATACCGCGAGTGCTTGAGCAGGAAGGACGAGCAAAACAAAGACAGGTGAAGTGGCTACGGATCCAGAGAGAACAAGAACTACACAACAATTAAATGGGCATTAGTACCTCTCAATATCACAGTTCAACAAATGTAACATGAACAAAAGAAAATCTAAACATGGATTACTTGCCTACTCTCTCAAGAACGGGTGAACCAAACAGATCAGAGCATACAGAGCAAACAAACTTCAATCAAACATGTAGATCGACAAGATTTAGTGGGGGTAACAACAGATCGAGGATGAAATCGACCATACCTTGTAGGATTGGCTCGGGTCACCAGCGATTCCCCCCCTCCAAACCCTAATGCATGAAAAAAATGTCACCGCATATGCAGAGGAGAGGAGAAGATGAGGGAAGGACATGGAGGATGGTGATGAAGAAAAGAGGAGGGAAGGAGAGGTCGGATGGGGACGGCCGGCGGCTCACTTGCGCCGCAGAACTGGAAGAGGAAGACGGGAGAGTCCAGAAGGAGAGAATGAAGTCGACGAGCTGGAGTGAGGGGCGAAGGGGGTGGCGGTGGGGATTTATCTCGCGCCAAAAGGGGCGGTAACCCTAGCCCTCCTGCGTGAATCGCCCGCGCTCCCGCGCACACACCATCGCCAGCCGCGCGATCCAGGCTGCGAAAAAACGGAATCGAAATCTGTTTTTAGGGAACCTGGCTCCGGACTCTTGCCTGCATGCCGACGGCTAGGCCCGTGGAGGACTCCAGGGAACCAAACACCCTTAAACTGCATCCCGGGAGCCAGGGACGCACGCAGCAGGGCAACCAAACAGGCCCCAATTGAATCATGCATCAGTGCAGTTCGTGTTAGAGATAGTCTCATAGGAGTGTATAGATACACTGTACGTTGTGCCTTGCTTCGGCGAAAGTTCAATTCGACCCTGGCTCTACTGAAACAGGCAGGCACTATCTTCTGAGTTTTGACAGATGAATGAAATCGAGTTTTGACAGGTCGCGGATCCGATTTGTTCCTAGCAGAGCGAACAAACTGGCACTAGCACTATCTATCGCTCGCAGTCGTCGTTATCGGAGATCGAAGACGTGACCTAGCAGAGCGAGCTATTAGCTAGCTCTTGACGCAGGTCAGGACGATTCAGATGGTTACAGGTGAATAATCTTGGACGTAAACGGATCGGCCAGATCGCGGCTGGACAGTGACACTGTCACACTGAACCCCAGCTTGTATATCATCCTAGAACTAACCAATGCTTCAGTATGTACGTGTCTGGCCTTCTAGAAAACCGGCGGCCGGTGTCCAGACTTAAGAGGGACTTTGTGACTTGTGAGATGCTGCACTGTGATTCTTGATCCAATCACTAGCTAGGCTTTACCGTACGTACAGGCGGAGATGGTGTCATGCGTGCATCGATAGTTTAGCGCCTTGCTTGAGGATCCCTCTTTCGATTTATTGTATTGTACATCATCTATCTATTGATTACGAGCTTATTTGACTAGGTCACTGCTAGCTAGCTACATACTGTACGCAAAGTACGTCTTCCCTAGCTACAATGCTTAGAAAATGAATGGGAGCAAGAGTGCGAGACCCTTCTTCATGAAGAGAACGCCTAGTCATCCTCCAGCCATGAATGTGAACTGTCCCTACGATACTGGTGCTCGGCAAATGATTTCGTGTTTCACCTGCTGCGTTGAAATGCTATATCTTCTTTTTTTTTTTTGCTGTGTTGAAAATGCTATCACTACCGGAGGCGGCTTCTTTGCCGAGTGCCTCAGGCACTCGGCAAATGCCAATATACACTCGGTAAAGGCTTTGCCGAGTGTTACACTCGACAAAGGGCGCACGGTAAACAGTTGATCGGCAAAGACGTCTTTGCCGAGTGCTAATCTGACACTCGGCAAAGAAAAGTCGTCGTGACGGCGAGCGCCACCATGACGCCGGCTTTGCCGAGTGTCAAGGTCAAGCACTCGACAAAGGTCGCCTCTTTGCCGAGCGCCGTTGACTCAAACACTCGGCAAAGGTGGCCACTGTGCCGAGTGCCACCGGCAAGACACTCGGCAAACAGGCGACCTTTGCCGAGTGTCTGACCCGTGGCACTCGGCAAATCTGTGATGTTTGCCGAGTGCAATGGCCTGTGCACGCGGCAAACCATGTTCCCAGGCAGGTTCTCAGGTCGTCACTTTGCCAAGTGTCATGGCCATTGCACTCGGTAAAGTGACTGAAAACAGTCTTTTTATTTGTTTTTTACATTCCATCCAAACAAACAGAAAATATATATAACAAACATCACCAACATCACATATATATCATCAACAGCATAGATATCCAACACCACATATATATCACAAACGTCACATGTCTCACAATATATCACAAATAAGTTCACAAGTAATCCAAGTGCTCCATCATCTACAACCACAATTGCAAATAGAAGTACCATTAACAACCACAAGTATCATCACCTAGCTTCCTCATCCCACCGCCCACCATCTTTGTTCAATCACCTGCAATTAAAAAGAGTAAACCAATATGCACAGATAAACAGAAGTACTTAGAAAGAGATGCAAAATAAACAAAACGTAATTACAAAATAACATAGTATTACATGTATTAGAAATAATCTTCATGATCGGGATTAGCTGGATCATAAGTCTCATCATCACTATCAATCATGTCGAAATAATCAACACTATCCGAATGAGCAATGTTGCTATTGTCATTGTCTAAATGTAATCGCTCAAGCATTTGTAAGTCCTTCACATTTTGCACCTCATCTCCAGTGTCCTCTTCAATAATAGTTTCATTGTCTACTTCTATTCCGATCGCTTCGGTTAAGTCTATCTCAAACCTCCCTTCTAGTCCCTCTTCTTGAAAGAACTCCCCGTCATATGTGTTTGGATCTAAGTTGTAATCTTCATCGTTTGGGACAGGCACTTTACCGTGTAGCGATACCCTGTGCACAATATCCCAACCCTTAAGATGACTTTTGGTTTGACACGCATATAGGAGATAATAAACTTGCGTGGCCTGTTGGGCCACAATATAGACATCGTCTTCTGGTAAGACGGAATCCTATCGAATTTTGACTAGCCCAAGATTAGAATATGTCCGTCTCGTTACTTCAGGATCAAACCAATGGCATTTGAATATGACTGGATTAAAAGGTTTGGAACCATGAAACTTGAGTTCGTATATTTTTTCAATTCTTTCATAATACTCGACCTCATCAACGTCGGGCGTAAAAACTTTGGAACTTGTGGTTCTTCAATTGGGCCGACTCTGCTCATAGCTTGTTGTGCGAAAGTGATATCCATTCACGTCATAACCGGAAAATAACCTGACCTTATAGGCAAAGCCATCGGTAACCTGTCTCAACTCGACACGCATAGACGCATCCCTCTGGCCCTGCAAGCTCAAGCAGGATACATCGTTATATTATTCGCACGTACGAGTAACTTGGAATGTCAAACTAAGTACGAGCTAAATTGGACGGTACCTTCCGTTTGAACAAAGAAATGAAATCGGGCATTCCATTTTCCGCACCCTGTCTAAGAAGGATATCTACCTGCTGCGGGGTAGGATCCCTTGATTGACGCCAGAATTCATGAAGAAATTTCCTGTACCAACGAGAAACAAGGGGGTTAGATGCAGAATAGTGACGGCGTATTTAACAAGTTCGTTGAGAACTTACTGCATGTACGGCGCCACTTCGTAAAGGTTGGTCAACACGTATAGCATGATATGGCGCCACTCTTCATGATTCAAGGTCTTGGGGGTCGATGCACTTGCGCTTCCGAGTTGCCCTCGGAAAAGGCTGAGGTTCGATTCATTTTCGCCAGCATTGTAACGAGGGGGTGGATTATGCACGCTAGGAAGGTTGTCACCATAGTATGTTGTTGTGAAGTTCACCACCTCCTCCAGAATATATGCCTCTGCAATGGAAGACTCGATTTTACATTTATTTCTACATTTCTTTCGAAGAACCTTTAGACATCTCTCGATTGGATAGCACAAACGGCTCTGCACGGGCCCCCCCCATTCGTGCCTCATACGGGAGGTGCAAAATCAAATGCTGCATCGGATTGAAGAAGCCAGGTGGAAAGATCTTCTCCAACTTACAAAGCAACACAGGTGCCATTCTTTCCAAGTCAGCAATCACGGTCCGAGATAACTCCTTGGCACAAAGCTGGCAAAAGAAATAGCTCAACTCTGCCAGCACTAGCCAGACATGCCCAGGGACATAGCCTCGAACCATCGCCGGAAGAAGCCGCTCAATCCATATGTGGTAGTCATGACTCTTCATCCCTAAGACTCGCATAGTAGATAAGTTCACTCCCCTCCTCAGATTAGCTGCATACCCATCAAGGAACATTAACGTCTGGATCCATTCTAGTACTTCCCTCCTTTAGGGCTTGTTGAAGACAAAATCGGTCTTAGGCCTTCTCCATGTCTTGCCACGACTAGGAGGCTTCATATGTTGGTTTGGTCTATCGCATAACGTTGCCAAATCCACTCTAGCCTTAACGTTGTCCTTTGACTTGTCAGGAATGTCCATGATTGTTGCCCAAAGTGCCTCGACGACATTCTTTTCAGTGTGCATTACATCAATGTTGTGTGGAAGGAGAAGGTCATCAAAATAGGGGAGCCGAGTCAAGCCCGACTTATGAGTCCACATATATTGCTCTCCATATCCCACAAAACCACCTTCTGGATTGACTATGAGACCATCTATCTGTTCACGAACCGCGGCACCAGTCATTATCGGTGGTGCAGGGTCTGTCACTACAACACCTTTCGTAAAGTTCTTGATGTCTCGTCTGAATGCATGGCCAAGAGGGAAGAATTGCCGATGTTTGTCGAACGATGAATACTTGCCACCCTTCTACAACCAAATGAACCTTAGACCTTCCTTGCATACTGGGCATGGGAACTTCCCATGAACACACTAGACGCAGAATATCCCATACGCCAGGAAGTCATGCAGGGAGTAGTGATACCAACCATGCATTTTGAAGTTTTTCTTTGTAGCTCGATCGTATGTCCATACCCCTTCCTCCCAAGCACGGACCAATTCATCAATCACAGGCTCCATGAACACACCCATATTATTCCTCGGGTGTCCAGGAATTATCAATGACAAGAATACGTTCTGTGGTTGAAAGCATACGCCGGGGGGGGGAGATTGAGGGGGATAACGAACACGGGCCAACATGTGTATGGGGTAGCCATCATTCTATAAGGATTGAACCCATCTGTTGCCAGCGCAACACGTACATTACGAGCCTCTTTAGCTTTCTCATGATGAATGCCATCAAAGTGGGTCCATGCTTCATCATCGGATGCATGTACCATCCTGTCAAGATTGTATCGTTTGCCATTTTTGTGCCATGTCATCTGTTTTGTGG